TCACCGCACAACTACCGCATAAAGCACAAACTTGATCAGAGAAGGAGATGATGATTGTTGTATGTATCTGTATATTTTCTCTATTATCCATCATGAAAAACCCCATATTTATATATAAGATCTTAAAATAGAATCCTACACTTAATAGGATCATGAATATATCATCTCTAGGATAAGACATTATCCACTCACTTATTTGGATGCTTATCTCATAATCATAACCAACATATTCTCACTCACGCAAATGAGTGGGTGTCATCCGTTGCTTCCTGAGCCAACTCTCTGAGTCGTTGACTCTCCGAGTCAAGGTCTCCTTTATAATCTCCTTCCTTTTTAAATTCATGTGCATACATCTTTAGTGCAGCGTGAACCATTGAGACCCTACAAGCTAGTATCTTTGTAGCCAGATCCAATTAGGACTAACACAAGAATCACCCTAAAAAAATACACAAGAAATAGTGTGAGTATACAATATCTTGTACTCCAGATCTGATCAATCACATCTGCACAAGTACCTTCGACCCCTCAAAGAAGTGTGCATGAACACCGCGATCTACCTTCAATTCATCGCTGGTGTGTCAGCTTACGTAGCATTAGTTGTCAGATATCTTAAAAGCGATTAATCAGATCAAGTCCCTTAAACATACATGACATATTTATAAGCCTGATGAAATGGATCAAGTGGTTATGATCCATACCAGTTTGTTGCCGACCGCTATACAGTAATTATGGGTCGGGCTTCGGCCAACCCACTTATTAGATCAAATCAGGGTTGGCATCTCAAGAGAGAGAACTAGAAGATCCATGGTAGCAAGTGGTGAATGAATTATGTGACTCAAATCATCTGGCTCAGACTTCTCACGGGACAAATACTGCAGTCGAACAGTACTAGAAAGGGATTTGCTCTACCTATTTTGTGACTTATTTTTGGCTCATTATGACAAAGTCAGCATAGCCACAGGGAAGTGAGCAATTGGCACTGGTGGAAGACATTAAACGATACATTAAGATTAGTAAAAGTTTGGGTAAATTTCATAAAACCCCCACTGAGTTTGGGCGTATCTCAAAAACTTCCCTTAACTTTTAGAATAGCATAAACCTACCCTCATTAAGTTTTGCGGTTCTTAGAAAACCCCATTCAATTTTAAATGCTTTCCAATAACATCCCCACACCAATAAATAAAGAAAGAAATAAATAAAGATAAGAGCATGAACCACAATTTTCATTAACATGACATAAGTATTGAAACAACTATAGATGTATAATCAACATGTACTTGGATATTTGGATCTGGATCCGGATATTTCATTATATAACCATATCTGTAACTTTATCCTATCGCTTATAGATTAGAGCTATCACATCCGTATCCAAACGGATATGGTTACAGATATATTCGCGGATATGGTTTTGCATCTCTGGATCTAGATGACAACATACGTGCAATAGGATAAATCTGCATCTAGATTATGCATAGCAAAAAACAAGAAAACCCTAACTTGCATCTAGGAACATAAACATCAAGTTTAGGATTTAACAAATTGATCGTTTCTGGAGGATCGACATGTCTTTCTTGATCAACGGCTAGAGGTCACCGCACAACTACCGCATAAAGCACAAACTTGATCAGAGAAGGAGATGATGATTGTTGTATGTATCTGTATATTTTCTCTATTATCCATCATGAAAAACCCCATATTTATATATAAGATCTTAAAATAGAATCCTACACTTAATAGGATCATGAATATATCATCTCTAGGATAAGACATTATCCACTCACTTATTTGGATGCTTATCTCATAATCATAACCAACATATTCTCACTCACGCAAATGAGTGGGTGTCATCCGTTGCTTCCTGAGCCAACTCTCTGAGTCGTTGACTCTCCGAGTCAAGGTCTCCTTTATAATCTCCTTCCTTTTTAAATTCATGTGCATACATCTTTAGTGCAGCGTGAACCATTGAGACCCTACAAGCTAGTATCTTTGTAGCCAGATCCAATTAGGACTAACACAAGAATCACCCTAAAAAAATACACAAGAAATAGTGTGAGTATACAATATCTTGTACTCCAGATCTGATCAATCACATCTGCACAAGTACCTTCGACCCCTCAAAGAAGTGTGCATGAACACCGCGATCTACCTTCAATTCATCGCACTCTTAGATCTTGTCCCCAACATAAAATAAGAGTTGGCTAAGCCCTGCAATCAGGGGACATGTCAATCAATCTTTCTCCGGCCTTAAATTGTTGAGCATGTTAATCACCCGCTTTTCTTGATGTCTCCTTATATGTGTGGTATTGTCTCATCATGGTAGGAAACAGCAGCCAAAGTAGCGAACGTTCATAATAGTCTTCCCAAGAAGCCCAATGTCTCTAAAGGAGCAGTCACTGCGCTAACCAATACTAGTGGTCATCAATAGGGGCTCACACAGCGAGAGAGTAGGGATCCATCCCTCAACCTCCTTATATCAGGTCCAAGCACACGTTGTGTGGCAACATGTTATGGTATTACTTCTCTCTCTGAGAGCTTATATCATTAAATGGATACTGTATACATAAGTTCCATCACTCCATGATGAACTTTTCCAACCATACCACCACGCGATATGCCTAGGACCTCCCAACAAACCCACACATTGTGCCCCAAATCGAACCCCTAGTCTGGCTGATAGTAAACATGTAAAGTGAATGTGGGCTTTTCACTTTTGTCACTTCAATATATAAGTATACAACAACCTCATCTTGAGCCAGTTAGGGCAACTGATAGAGCGCTCCCACTATTGTCATACCCGATAATACAGCAATGTTACCATTGCTCTAAGTGAAAAAGAACTATAAACTAATATCTCGCTCATCTAGATCGTCAGCCCAGTCGACATCTGAATATACTATAGATGAGTGTTAATTTTTCTAAAGCACAATGCGTAAATGCAGTTTCAATTAAATATTTGATGATCATCTTGACTCATCCTAGTGAGTCATACTAGGACTGGACCGATGTCTACCCATCAATCCCATTGCAAATAAATTGTTGGGTCTCGTACACATACGTCACTCATGTAAGGGATAACCAATATTTACTTCTTCTCTACTTTATTGTTGGGACATTGGTCTATCCTTAGAGCCTGACTCTTAGTAATTGGAGTCACGGTAGTCTCTATGCGGCACCTAGTCAGCAATATGTCATCGATAAACTATGGCAAGATCTCAAACTCTTACCAGCTCTATATAGGTAGACACAGTTGTCTTCATCAATTATTATGAAACCATAACACAACATAATCTACTATAATAATAATAATACTACACAATGGAACTCTGTTTCAAATACAAGTAGAGCTCTTTAACTTGGGTACATTGTGCTCAAGTCCCTTGATTTTGAAACAAATAGTCGATCCACATTGATCACCTATACCAGTTCTCCTGGAGAAAAGATGTCTCTAAGTTTATTGGACTAGTTCAAGATCAATATGCACTATTAGAGTTAATTTTTTGTGAAAGTCAATTCTCTCCTAGAGAGAACGTCTCTGCATAGTCCACACTAGGACTTTAGGTGTATCCTTTCACCATCAAGCTTGCACTGCATTGCTTAATTGTATAATCCTGCTTGACCTTAAAACCTCATTTATTCTTAATAGTATTGCATTTAGCTGGAAGATCCATCAAGTTTCTAACTTGATTCTTCCTTATGAACTCAAGCCACCCTTCCGTTGTTGATGTTTACTCTTTTGTTACAGATTAAAAAATAGCATCCTCATATGGTTTGGGCTGCATAATAATATATACAGTAAGGGTCCATGAATTTTCTCGTCAATATTAAATTATCTTGTGGGTACTAGTCCATGGAATGATCAGCTAGGCAACTGAGATTCCTTATCTCTCACTCCCACTATCACCAACTAGTGGAGGAACCATCCTCTTCTATTTCTAGCTCTATGATAGTCTCCTCGATCTCCTATGAACCAAAATCCTGAACATCTTTTCTTTACGGGAGAAATCCTCTCTGAGGAACTCAATATCCTGCAACTCCCTCAGTCACAATCCTATCGTGGTACTCATATATGAACATCCTTGAAATTAGTGTATGGACTTACACTTCTTTCTTCTAGGGTCCAACTTCTCATACAAATGAGAAGCATTATGTGTGTAAGCAACATATCCATATCAATATAGTGATCCAACACTGACCCTCGGCTGTCCATGACTCACAGGATGTAGATTCTACTGATCTAGAAGGTACATAGTTTAGAACATATGCTGCTATCAATAGCACATCTTCCCAAAACAATGTGGGTAGATATTCTAAACTACGTTTAGCAGAGTCGCACTCACTTTTTGCAACACCACTTAGTTGCAGAATATACGTTATCTTTCAGCTATTTGACTTTTTTCTTTTTCTTGACACAGTTCCCTAAACTGGTTATATAGTTGCTCTATCTCGCAACTAGCGTGCAAAGCTCTACTACTTTAACTTAATTAATTATTCACCTTCCTAATTTAGTGCTTGAAACAAATCTAAACTCTCAGTGCAAAATCAAATACACATTAGCGTAAATAAAGTAATAGCCTATTAATATGAGGAAATAAGTGCTTCACTTTGTAGTTTTATAAATATCAGCCCGCATGTATAAGAATGTACTAATTACAACAGATTTGCTCTTGGCTTTGCCAAAAGATTTCCTAGTTATTTTACTAACGAGACTATACTCATTAGGTGGAAAAATACATCTTGGTACACATACTCAGGAGGTCATCCTAGTGAATCTTCATGTATCCTCTAATGTTGACCTAGTCTATAGTACCATAAATTAGATCCAATCTTAATTCACAATATATGTCAAAGTAGAAGGTAAGCGTAGTTATGTTATAATCAGTTATATTTTAAAATCATCTGAGAGATTAGTTTGATATCCTATGCGAAGCAGAGAATCCAAGAAGTAAATCTATGTAAGTTACCCACATATGGGAAACTAACACGAATCCCACAAGGCTAACTACTGAGAGACAATTCCTCATTTATGGTGGGAGTATTACAATAATATATTTGTCCCCTGAACTTGGAGACATTTATATGAATCAAGGCCCAGCACTGCTACTTTTCCCCCATCTACATCTTTCTATTCCTAGTTAGAATCTTCTGGAACTCATGAATCGGTCTCTACCCTCCAGAAGTAGTCCACAAGTCCTAAGTTTTCTCCGTTGTGTGCCCTCATGAACGAAATGTGTCCTACCGTCAAAATAATCAACCTTCTTAGTATTTGTTAGTTTCTTCACCCTTTTTACTTGCTTCTTTTGTTTTAGAATCTATTCTGAGAATCTCCTGGTGTATACCCACTATAACTAGGCTTCTATCCTTACACATCGGATATTCAGTTATCAAAGCCGAAGTAGACATGTTAGCATTGAGCACACCCTGGTATTTGGACACCAACTTCACTTTCATTTGCACATCCTTAAACATTGTCCCATTTGCGATGTGCAATGAAAGTAGCACATGTCTTTTCAAGAGTTATGTACAACTTTGATAACCGTCGAGATTTGCCTCTGCTAGCATGATGCGGTTCCAATAATCTCATGATCCCTGATCACAAAGGTTATCATCCAAAGGTGAATTTCTATGTTCTGCACAGTAGACATTGCGTTTGATCTAATTTAATAACAAGAACTTGGATCCTCAATGGAGAAACATATTCAAATCTTGCATTAAGAGTATTCCCGAAGTCATCTACATTAGAATTATACTGACTCTCCCCCATAAGATCACTCCTCGTTGCAATCCACTTAGTGAACCGCTTGAATGATCTTTTCATTTCCAGATCTTATATTGATTGGTCTTAAATCATTGAGTCTGAGTTGAACCCTGTTCACATTCGGTCATCATCACCTCAACAGAGAAATTAGATCTTCCAACAAAATTATCTACCACTAATCAATCCCAGATTGAAGACAAAAAATTCTAGTGGTACCTCTTTAAGAGAAGGACTAAAATACTCAATTTATGGACATATTAAGATTAATGGCATTTACATGGAGTAGTGTTCTTCTCTGGTAAAATATTCCATCTCATCAAGCCTTTTATAACGATATTATAATTACATTCCAAACAAAGAGAAAAAGACCTAGGGCGCCAACCACAATATTCAATTATATAATTTTTAAAATTGTTATAAAATTTTTAAAAATTAGAATATAAGATTTCTTAGTGATAGACTAGATTGGAAAGTTAAATCATAGTATCATCTCTATCCAAATCTCCCACTTGAAATGATTTATTTATATTTTGGTACGCGACTGAACATGCATCATGACAAACATAATTAAAAAATTTCATGTTTCATTTAACTTCCCTATTTTAATCTTGTTAATTTTATTATGTTATTTTATTTCTCGTGAAATTGGTACAGCGTCCCATACACTCCCAATGGAATAACTACCCATCACAAGTCTCCAAGACTTATTTAGAATTTTTATAAATCAATTTTGGTATTTAAAATGATTTTTCTACACTTTCAAAGTTTAAAAAATTATTTTACGGTAAATACCCACAAATGCTTAATTATAAAATATGATGAGCCCCACACCAGATTATTTTTGGATCATTTCTGTAGGATCGCCACGTCTTTCTTGATCACGAACTTGTTGTTTATGTAACCGGCTAGAAGCCCCCGCATATCACCCCGCGACTACCGAATAAAGCACGAACTTGTTCCAAGAAGGTAATGGCAGCCATTGTATGCATCTGTACAAGTTCTCTCTTACCCATCATAAGACACTCCATATCTACATTAAGCGCTTAGAGATAGAATCATACGCTTATTAGGATTATGAATATCTTATCTCTAAGATAAAATATTATCCACCCACTTTTTCGGGTGCACATCTCACAATCATAACTAACAGCACCCCCAACGAAAGTCGCTGATTCTTGTGCTATTGACTCGCAAAATAAAATGTATCCCAACTTATATTACCTCCTCCAACATAACAAGACGGTCGTGTCTTTCTTTTCGTCTGCTGCCGATATGTGCCTATTTCATGCGAGTTGCACAAAACTTCTGTCAAATGCAAAAACACTGTTTTTAATTTCCAACGTGCATAATTATTTCACAATCTAGACTTGATCAGATATCTTAGAATAAACTTGAACGCACTCGTTCTCAGAGACTTCGAATCTAGAAGGAAAGCGTACAGTTCTCGTACCCACAAGAAGTAAACAGCAGAAATATAATTATAAGAACAATATTCAATATCCAAGAAGAATGAAAACACAGCAACCGGATTTCTCCAAATTAAACAAGCCTATATTTTAACTGAATAATACTATTTTTTTTTAATAATAACAGAAGTAATACATCAAAAATCACCTTTTAACCTTCCGGAGTTTCAGTGATAGCAATTTTTGAGCTCATAAGGTTATACACAATTTAAGGAATCATATGGTGCCCAAGTGAAAGATTGTTGGATTTAATCTAATAAATCTATTTGTGGGCACATATGATTAATCAATGTGTATTGCTATCTTTCAGGATAACCCACTAAAATGATCAATTAATTTGGGTTAATGGGTATTTAAATAAATCATGAGGTTATATGTGCAGATACCAGGTTGTAATTGTGATTTGTTGAGGGGCCAAATTGCAAATTTACAACATCTATAAATAAGGGGTTATGGTCCCTAATCTAGGGTTACATTCTCTAATTCTCTTCACCTCCATCTAGAGAGAAATTCGGCTATAGAGAAAACCCTAAGGTTAGAAGATCCAAAACTCATCTCAGGTTCATCTATGAATTCAGGTATAAGCTTCCGCTCTTTATGATTATTGTTAATCTCTTCGAATTAATCATAGCTTTATGGTTTTAGATCTCAAATTTTTATTAGACCTAACAAGCCTATATGCGCAAGATGCAAATAGGAAAATTATATCCAAATATAAAGAGATGAAGATAACTTGCGAGAGGTCCGATCTCAGCAACCGGATTTCTCTAAATTAAACAAGCCTATATTTGGTTCGTTTTCCGAGTTCTTGATGCAACAATTATTCATCAATGGACTCAATTATTTTAACTGAATAACACTATATTTTTTTAATAATAACAGAAGTAATACATCAAAAATCACCTTTTAACCTTCTAGAGTTCTAGTAAATAAGTTAACGCTGCCAACGGCTGAACTGAACATTCCCCTCCATAAGTCAATTTGCAGTATAAATAGATGAATAACTGATCCCTTTTCTTCAAGATTAGTTGTTCCTGCTTCTCAAAGATCAATGGGGGCCTGTGTATTTTTTTTTTCAAAATAATTTCCTCTCCTGATATATTTTGTGATCCACAAAGCTTATGTGAACTGCCTTTATAAAACTTTCTTAACATCAAAGAAACCCGATCTTTGTTCATTTGCTGCAGCTACATCCTCTGGTGATGCAACTGCAACAACAACCCCCTTATCCTTCACTGCTTCAACAGCATCAGCAAACTCCTTGAAGTCTTTTACACTGTAAAAGCTTAAGCAATAAGAATACCAATTTACAAGGAAAATTTTCTATTTGTTAAAAGCAAAGGGATATTAATCCCAAACTACCTTTAAACACGGTTTTGAGCCAGATGAGCTCAGGATGAAACTCATATGAGGAAGAAAAACTTACGTGGTTGACAGGATTTCTTCGCGACGCTGTTCTCTTTCTTCATTTGTCACGCCAAGCAAGTGCCGCATTAGACTGAGAAGAAATTATCATAAGCTCTTAAGAATAATTTCATAAATAAAACAAAATTGTAGATACAACTCTATTTAGTTTTATGTTCATAAACTACAAAAACAACTTTTGCCCCTTTAGGGGTTGGGTACATGAATCATATTCTTCTATTAAGTTATGTTGAAGGCTATCTCCCCAATAATCTAACCACCATCATTTCCTCCTCAGCTGTTAACCCCTATCATTTCCTCCTCAGTTGTTTCCAACCGAGTTCTTTTAGGCATACCTTCAGTTCCATTGATCATAATCTTATCAGTTTTTCCTAATTGGAGTATCTAGTGGCCTCTGTTACATATGATCAATCCACCTCAATCAAGTTCTAAGGTGGTTTCTTTACAAGTGCTTTTATGTACATGAAACTATGATGCAAGTTATTCCATCACACTAGTGTGCACCCCGACCCTTTTTTTTTAAGCACTGCATTTTAAACTTGTCTCCCTCTAAGTTTTAATACATTTAATTTAATTATTGTATGTTTAAAATTAGAAATCATATCTACTCCCCTATACTTAAAGAAGGATCTAAGTTTTAATACGTTTGATTTGCTTTATTGTTTATGATATAGTAAATTTTGTAGCCTGAATAGCAACCTTTAAGTATGGAGGGCTGATTTGATTTACAGTTAATGCTACACTAAAATACTGTAGCATAAAACAGTAACTGCAGGTGCAAGTTTGACATACTGTTCATGCTACAGTATTGAATGTAGTATTTACTGTACTACGAACAACAATTCTTTATATTCTTCTTTTAAGTATAGAAGAGTAGATACAACTCAATAATAATAGTCTGGCATAACTTACACCTCTTTCTCACGCCGTGGGCTCTTTGGTTTGGTTAAACACGCGAGGGACAAAGGGACCAAAACTAGATCCAAAACTGGGTTGGGTCCAGACCCAAGGAAGAAGGTAGGCAGAGAGGGGAGGATGAAAGGAAGCAGAGAAAGGGGGTATAGATTAGTCTTTTTTTAAAAATTAATCATCTTAACCAAAAGAATACTGGAACATTCTAATTTTATTCCCTACAAACAATAGCGGGGTATAATTTGAGGTTAAAACACAAATTGACTGGTAAATTAATTTGGGGTTTGATTCTAGAAAACTAGGGGAGTATATAAGTATATAAGTAAAAAACTAAAAACTAAAAACTAAAAAAAATAATTTACATACATACTTCAAATTATCAGCAAATGTTTACGTATCAAAATGTCCAAAAAAACACTTATAAAAGAAGTTCAGGCTACTTATATTAGGGATATACAGAAGTACAAAGAAAGAGAGTTTATAAGTATGAACATGAGATTGTCATGTTTAATATGTGAAAGTAATTTGGAATTAATAGTTTAAAGAAGTAACATTTAGCAAAGAATGTGTAAAAGAAACTTTCCAAATTATACATTTTTCTATTCCAATGACATTAACATATCTCCACAGAATTTTGACTGCACAGGGAGTTATGCTTATACTATAACTATTTATGTTCAAACTGAAAGCTTAGGGGTATATACGATATGCAAAAAGTTGAACAGAATTCTGTAGTATAGCAAAGTAAGGGGAACAGAAATAAATGTAGCCATTAGAAATAAATTTAATCATACTCTTCAATTTTGAAGATTTTAAACAAATACAAATATGAACGCCTCCATATTCAACTCAATCTGATTCATTTCCAGCTCTAGTCAGGCACACCAAAGAGCTTTGGACGCTGTTTTGGAAATTGGAATCTAATGAAGGCGGCCATTGAATGAAGTTTATTCTCATTTCATCAAGGGAAAAAAGAAGAGGTGCCTCAAGGCCTAGAGAGACTGAACACCTCGTGTCATAAGAGTAAGAAATTTGAGCTACATCGATTCATCATAGCTGCAACAAATTTAGAGCACAACTCACAGGCCCCTAAGCGTTTGCACTAGAGGTATTCATGTGCAATCTTTTTAGGAGTTTGGGCCTTCATTAAACATGTAAGAGGGATAAATTGGAACTTGGGTTATAAATCAACATCTATGATCCCTACTACACATTCTGTGACACTTCAATAGTGTATCTTATGTAGATGTGACATATTGAGCTAACATGGCAACTTGAGGTGCACTCTTGTCAACTAGACTCTACAAATAATTTGTTATTTCAAGATTGTTTATCATACTTAAATCATCATAAATATATTTATCATAACTATTTTTATTAGGAACATCATAGAGCGTGCAGAATACTGTTATCCAAATATTCAATCACTAACAATAAGTAATAGAGGAAATTTTGCAATTTCGGAAGAAACATCACATACCTACTATAACCTTTTGCATCTGGAAGCTGGTATGAATCAACATCTCCAATAGTACCAATAATTGCCTTAGTTAGAGTATCATCATCAAGTTCAAGCTCCCGAAGGAAGCTAGGTGTTCCATCATATACCTCCAGGGTTTTTAACAGATTTGGATCACGATATGACAAGTAAGAGAACACTCCTGTAATATGAATTCAGTTATGGGTCAATGCAAAGCAAAAGTAATAAGGAGCCATTGTGTGCAAGTACCATCATCACATGTTATGAAATTTCTTTTAGAAATAAAAAATGGCCCAAGAACAATTTTTGACTTCTAAATTACCAAATTATGGTACATTCAAAAAAATGTTCCAAATTTGGATTAAAACATATGTAATATGCCCTTCAAGAAAGCTTAAGAATTTAAACTCAACAGAGGGAATGTAGACATTATTTTTGAGTCTAAATAGTCTGCAATCGTATGAAGTTGAAAATTAGAAACATGAC